AAAAATAACATTTCTTTTAAAAAGTTGTTATTTTGTTTTTCAGAATTTTCAAAATTCAAAAAAAAAGACACACATTGTCAATTATTGCTTAAATTCATATAATAAAATTACAGAAAAAAATTATTGCGGGAGCAAAAAAAATTCTATGGAAATCTATTGAAAAAATGGGGGAGAGAAAATTATTGATTTTTCTAAATATATTGCTTTTCAACAAAACCGGAAAAAATCCTAAAATCTGAAAAAAAATTCTGAAAATTTTTCTTTAAAAATTGTGCATGGATTTGTAAAAAAATGGGAAAATCGAAAAAAAAATAATTCCAAAAAATAACCAGTTTCTGTGTCATAAAGCGGGAAGAAGAGAGAAAATGGGCGTGGCTTAAAAAGTGGGCGGAGCTTAAGATCGGGATAACGAGAGAGGGAGGGGTTGTAAGGCATCTGGGGAGTGTTTTAAAGGGAAATTCTTTTTGGGCAACGGGTGGGCAACACATGGGCAAAAAAAGGTTCTCGGGAAAAATTTAAAATTTTGAAGAAAAATTTTATGAAGTGGCTAGATATGGGGTGGCATTGAGAGATGGAAGAGGTATTCGGATTGAAAGCAAAAATCGGATTTACAAGATTTGCACGAGTAGTGGGTCTGAACCAGAGTTAGCGTCTGAAAAATTGAATTTTGGATGTTTTGAATTTTTTGAAATTCCAAATTTTTTACTTGTCTAAAATCTCGAATTTGTTAAAATTCGAAAATTTCATTTTTGGGATTTTCTATGATTTTTCAATTTTCTAGAATTATTGCATTTGCTGAAAATCCTAAATTTAAAAAAAAGTTGATTTTTTGAAATTTTGGATTTCTCGAAATTTTTAAATTTTTTGAATTTTTAGGAAATTTTCTGAATGTTTTGGATTCTTAGAATTTTTGGAATTTCTGAATTTCTGAATTTCAGGAATTTCAGAATTTTTGAATTTCCGAACTTCAGAATTTCAGAATTTCAGAAACTTCAGAAATTTCAGAATTTCAGAAATTCAGAATTTCAGAATTTCAGAATTTCAGAATTTCAGAATTTCAGAATTTTTGTTTTCTTCAAAATACTGGATTTCCAGGATTTTCAGGAATTTCAGAATTTCGGATATTCAGAATTTCAGAATCTCCGAATTTCAGAAATTTCTTGTAATCTAAAATTTGAGAATTTGAGAATTTCAGAAATTTCTTGTAATCTAAAATTTGAGAATTTGAGAATTTCAGAATTCCAGAATTTCAGATTTCCAGAATTTCAGAGTTCAGGAATTTTTGAATTTCCGAACTCTGGATTTCTAAATTTTAGAAATTCAGAATCTCCGAATTTCAGAAATTTCTTGTAATCTACAATTTGAGAATTTCAGGATCGGAGGATTTCAGAATTTCAGAATTTTAGAATTTCCGAATTTCTGAATTTCTGAATCTCAGAATTAAAATCACCTTATCACATTGACAAATTTGTCGTTGATGCTCGCGGAGCTTCTTCTCCTCTTGGAACACAAATGTACACGTGGGACACGCCCATCCGACCTGAAATTTTGAAGTTTAGGAATTTTCGAAATTTCCGGAATTTCAGAAAATCTAAATTTCCAGAATTTGGGAATTTTCAATTTAATGATCCTAATTAACCAATTAACTGAAAAATTGATTAATTAATTACCTCTTTTTGAGTAGTCGTCAAATGGGATTTTTCGTTTTCCGGAAGCGCGTCTTTCAGTTTTTCGACGTTTAACCCGTCCTGAGAGAATACGGTACGCGGTTTTTTCTCCTTTATATCCGTGGAAATTTGGGTTTTGATTTCCTCGGGTACTTGCAAAAACTGAATTGGTGTTCCGTACATTTGAATGTCAATTAGTGGGTTTAGAAATGGGAACCCAGACAGGTCGAACGCGTTTTGAGCCGTTTTGGAGGATCTGAAAAATTGGATTAAATCAAGTTTTCAGTTTTTTAAGATTGAATTTTAAGAAGGAATCTGGAAATTTCAAAATTTTTGAAAATTTTGGATTTTCGGTAATTTTGAAATTCGGTGTTTTCCAAATTCTGAAAGTTTGAAGGTTCCGGAACTTTGGAGTTTCGGAATTCCAAAATTTCAGAATAGCAGAATTTTCGAAATTTGAAGATTTTTTCAAAAATTTGAAGATTCTGAATTTTTGGATTTTTCAAAATTTCATGACTTTCGGTGTTTTTGGAGTTTTTGAATCTTGGATTTTTAGAATTTTTGAATTTCGATTTTTTTTGGGATATTTGAATTATTGGAAACTTTTGAACTCAATAATTTCAGAAATTTTCTAAGAACATTAGAATATAGTTTTACATTTTCGGTCAGAAATTCTAAAAATCTGGAAATCGAAGTTTCCAGAAATCGATTTTTCGATCTTTTGGAACTTCTGGAACTTTTGGATTTAAAAATGTGAAATTATTAACTTTAATTTTCCAGAAAATCCCAAATTTCCACAAAGCTCAGAAATTCAAAAATTTTGATTTTACAGAAAACTCTAAAATTCCCAAAAATTCGTATCTTCCGAAAATGGCTTTTTTGATCTACCAAAACAAAAATGGCTCTTTGAAATTCCAATTTCGACCTATCGGCTTAAAAGGTCCCCCTACTACAGTACCCAGTACTCACTTCTTCTCCGGCGAGCACTCGGTCACCGACGCCGTCGTCAATTCCGACACCCCTTCCTTCTTAAGCTGTGCTCTCAACACACCAATATGCTCCGCCGTGAAAAGATGATCCTGCAGTGCCAATCTCGTCCCAAAACTTTTGTCACACTGCTCACAATTCAATTCCCCGGATCTCGACTCTTCGTCTACAGTACCCCGTGTCTTTCTCTCCTTGGCTCTCGCATTTTGAAACCACACTTGAACGACACGTTTGTGAAGTCCCACCTCCTTCCCTAGAAGCTCACACTCGGCCATCGATGGCGTCTTGTATTCATTGAATACACTTTTCATCATTTGAACTTGCATCGGTGTTAAATGGGTACGAAATCGTTTTGAGCTGCTTGCTGGCGACCTACACTCGGATCCAGAGCCCCCATTTGAGAGCAACGCTGCGAAAGTAGAATCATCGAGTTGCTCCGTGAGCACATCATCTTCAGATCTTGGAGGACTCGTACTAATCGACTCTCGATAGTCTACTGATGACCCAGATAGGTCCAACGCTGACTCCTTATTATCTAGAAACATATCCGACGCGTCTGGCATCATATCAACATCGATGTTGGCAAAAGCCATGTTATGCTTCTGGTTCATATGCTCTGTCATCGCATTCTTGTCCCGGAACTCTTGCTGACAAAAAAGACACGTTTTGTGGAATCCAATATTCTCGCACATCTTCATTAGGACATCACTGGAGGAGCTGGAGCCACCGGCGGCACCAATCATCTTAAGAAGATCCGCTGGTTGGAACTTTGGAATATCCATTGTGAGGACTTGTTGTTGGGCTAGCAGTTGAGCTTTTTCCTCGTCGGTCAACGATTCTTCCACACTTTTGTTATCGCTGGCCAGTGCGGCGCCGTCGTCCTTGTAGCACTTCTTCTGCTGATGTTGGATGAGTTCGTAGTAGCGTTGGAAGACTTGGTTGCATCTGAAATTGAAGATTTGAATTTTTTAGAAGAGCTCAGCTAGAAGCTTTTGAGATAGGAGGCTCCGCTCAGTCGACGCTTTCTACAGTGTAGCTCAGTCGCTAGGAAACATCCCAAAAAGTTTGGAAAATTTGTTTTACCCATAACTCAAACAAAAGTGTTCCATTTTCTATGAAAAATATATAGACTGATTGGTAATTTTTTG